TGAAGAGTTCAACAGTAAGATGGGAAAATTAATTGCATTGCCACCATCATTGTATTAGACCTGTATTTAAATGTAATGAAATCACAAGTTTTGCCTGTTTTTGACACCTTTATGCCTAAGAGAAGCTGCTGAGGGATGGAGGCAGGGAGCTGATTAATTCTGATTTAAGTAGAAACACTGCACTGGTGAATTTCAAATGGAAATTTACCTGAAGGACCATCAATATGCTAATCTATTCATAAAAACAATATTATCCCATATGCACATAAGACATAATAAAAACAGTGACTTTATTGCGCATTTAAAGGAATTGTTTGGGAAGATTTCAGGAAATATTTGTTTGACGTCAGATCAGGAGGTTGATACCACGTTGTTATCTGTTTTGTTAAACATAAGGCTACAACCAGCTGCCTGTTAGCTTAGCATAGCATAAAGACTGGAAACAGCTAGCCAGGCTCCATCTGAAGATGGAAATACATTTTTGGATCTCTTAAACAAGCTATGGTGTGAGCTTTAAAGGTGTTGGTAGGTGGATTTAGTTGGCATTAGACTCAGCCAGGTTAGGGTCTTAAACCTGCAGTCTTTCTAAGCAGCAGGCGACTCCTGTGGTTGAAAAAAGAAGTCAGATTCTATAGAAGTATATGAGAAAATGACTCACTACTTCTCACTTGATTTGCGACTTCACTAAACATTTCATGAGTGTATGCGCTAAATTAGTAGGTTAGAGACTTTTGAATACAGCTTGATGTTCACTTTGTAAATGTTGGTCCCACTTAGTTAAAAACAGATACTAATGTCGTGTATCTTTGAAGGCGCGGCTGCCTTTGTAATTTACAGGTCGCTACCGTATCACAGTGTATTGTGTCCTCGACCTCTCGCTCAAATCCACTGGTCATTCGTCATGTCGGATTTCCAAATACCAAGATATTCCTCCAATTAAAATTATGTCAGACAACATTCTGGGCAAAAATCCACTCCTTGGAAACGATGTAGTTTCTCAGTTAAATGAAGAAGTTTCTCGTCTGAATTGCCCCTTTTTATCTATAATTAAGGGCTTGCAGGAAGAGGATATAAATTTACGACTGGATAAGTAAACATGGAATTCAGTTCATAACAGGGTTCATTCCTCATCAATATGCGAGTGACATGGATTCCGACAGTTCGTCCTTACCCAACACTATACTGAAGAGAAATCTGATTGACGTTTCACCCTGATGTGAACTGTCTGTGCCCTTGATGCAAAAATCAAACAGGAACTCCTCTCCACACTATTGGATGGACTTTATAAGTAGGGGCAAGATGTATTCTAAACTCTCTCAAAGGTATCTAGGATTCCTTTCAACCAATCCGTCACCACTGACAGCAGTATTTGGGGTGGTTGCTAAAGAAGCTAGCACATCAAAATATACATTAAATACTCGTGCATCTACATCTCTGACTGCTAGACGGCTACTTTTTCGTCAGTGGAAAGATTAAAAACACCATACACTCACTGGATTAGAGATCTAATGAAGTTTTTACAACTAGAGAAAGTCAGATCCACTCTGGTGGGATCTATACTGACAAGTTCTGGCAGCTACTCATCTCACACGTTGACAATTGCAAACTGGATATGACATCCTGAGCATGACTGTATCTGAAAAAAACATGTCTGATATTATCTGTTGCAAATGGCCACAGTATGAGATGTCCTGTCCCTTACACTCTTTTATTTCGATTTTTTTTCAAATTTTTTCAGTTGTTTTTATTTTATTACTTACTTTTTAATATACAGTTTGTGAATGTAAATTTATACTTAAAGTGATATTAAATTCAACTCTCACCAAGAAACTGAATAGAGTTTCCCAAAATATCAAACAACGTAATATATAAACTGGGATTCAGACAGAAAAGGGGTCATGTTGTTTGCAGTCAAAGAAATATTATCCAGGAAGTCCAGTGGGAGTAAACAGATTAATGCATTTAAAGCTTGTCAGTAGCCAAAACACTTCACATTGGTTTGACTCACAGATCATGACTCTGGAAAGCATCACACAAGGAAAACAGGAGAATTATCACAATATGTGCTTGTATGTGATCGATTAACGCAGCATCATTGAGAAGGACATTGTGTTGCAGCTAAAGTTGAGTCTGTGTCAGCTGGAAACCCAGCTGTACCTCCATCCAAAGCCTAATCCAGACAGCGACTGTTGCAGTTTTACATCTTTTCCTTTTAGAAACACCAAAGACAAGTTATATCATTTCACTGATTCCAAGAACACACCCCGTGGACTGACAGATAGGAGGAACCGACAGCTTTTTAACAGCGTTTCTTCTCTTCATTTTTTTTTTTTCTGTTTGGACATCCAAACAATGTGATGTGAAACATCCGCCTTTCTTGCTTTTTTGATATAAATTCAGCGGACATGTAACATAGGCTTCCTGTCTGCGTATTGCGGGAGCACCCATCACTGATGCAGCATGATGGGTGACACTTTTCCCTCACGAAGGCGAGCCAGGGATCTGTGGGCACAGACATCTTCCTGTGAAATGTCACACCCCTCTGTCCTCCACATCACTGTGAATACAAATGACAGTCTGTTTGCCATCTGCGGACCAAGTGGCTCCTCACTCAAAGGCCCAGGGAGACTCTTCTGCATGCAAGTTAGCACAGGGCGACTGGGAGAACTTCTTGGATCGAGCCATAGCGGAATACAACTTAGTTTAGGTAACACATTTTATCTATGCAAATAGAAGGTTTAATTTGAGTTTTGGGATTATTTTTTTTTAAATTCATGTGAGTTGATGGCTTTTATCGGTTTTCATCCTTGGCTTTTTCTTTTGTGCTTCTTTTCCTTCGGTTTCTTGTGCTTCCTCCTTAGTCAAATGTATTAATTTAACACCTAAAAGAGTACTTTGATTAGCTTTGGTTTATTAAGAGCAAGCACGAGTGTCTTCTCCATAATCCAATGATACTTGTCTTTGGGGCCAGGCTGCTGCAGAGTTTCAGTGCACTCTAAAGTGCTGGCAAGGAGGAAGTGTGTACAAGGTGTCTTACAAAATAAACATTGCCAATGTTGTCTGACAGAGATTTTGAGAAAATGAGAGAACCCCTTTATATTTAACTTAAACTGCAACATCACAGTAGCGGTGTGGCCTCTTGTGGATGTATCAATGTCAAACTAGTCCTTTTTGTGTATTTATATGTCAAAATCCATCAATTTATCTGCCAAAAAAAAAAATCTTTTGTTCACTCTTCCTACTCTGAGACAAATAAAAACTTAATCCAACAAACTGTCATCATAGATTATCAGGAGGATTAAGCTACACTTCTTCCCACTTTACAAAGATGTAGGTCTCTCAGGCAAACGAGCACTAGGAGCTGTGTCAGAGGTGTATATTCAAGTGGCATCATTTCAAGGCAGCACCAGTATGACTGAGCCTGAGATCAGAGATAATGTTCTTTATTATCATCCCCTTCCTCTAAAAATAGGGATGATGGAAGCATTACCTCAACAGCTACGATCACCGTTAGTTTACAGGCTTCGGCAAACCTGCTTTTCAACACTGAAACAACTCCCTTAATACTTCAACATCCTCCCAAACACCCCATCTCATAGGATACCATGCACACCTACAGTAGTTGTAAAGGATACTGGGTGAAAAATGTCCACCAAAGTGGTACCAATTGTCCAGCAGAGATAACAGGAAGTCTGGCTGCCTGGCAAAGGAGTCTTGCATCCTGATCACCAGCCACCCAAAAGGTCATAAAACTCCATAATGTTGTGAATGAAGGCATTTGCATTTTCTGCACAACAGTGAGGCAGTGCATTGGATTCTGGACTTCTACTCTCTTGTACATCAGGTTTGTTCCCTGCTAGTCCAGCTGTACTGACTGTGTCCTTAAAGGGAGCGTTTCAAATGCTCTTATTTGCTTTCTTAGCTGGAGTAAGATGAGAAGATGGGTACCGCTCTCATCTCGGTAAATATGAAGCTGGAGACGGTTGCCATAGCCGGGACCAGCAACTTCCTGAAGTCTCTGTTGGTTGCCTGGCAACTGGTCCAAGCCAAGAAATAGTCCAAACCATAAATCGTCATAAAACTGTGAATTGGCAGCAGGTTTTTTTTACACTGCGGTTTTGTTTGGTTTAAACCAACAAGAATTACCATGTAATCAATGGGCTTTAGCGATGCTAGTAGGCAGATTTTGTTGGTTTTGGACAAAGAAAGTTTCCAGTCTTGTTGCTGTAAGCTAGCTGGCTGCTGGCTGTAACTTCCTCTGTAGCATACAGATGAAAGAGGTATTCATGTTTTTATGTAATTCTCTGAAAGAAATAAGAATATTCCTCAAAATCTAAAATTTAAACAAAAAAAAAAGTTTGAATAACACAAGATGGAAATATTTAACCAGATATCTTAATTTATAACGTTAAATGCCCATTTCAGTAACCTGTGTCAGTGTTTTTATTTCTCTAAATCTGGATGTTTCCAACGATCAGAAACTGAAAGTTTCCCATAATAGTTTACATATTTAAAATTTTGCTTAGGTTCTGTTAAATTCTGAGAACTTTCAGTTTCAATCTGAATTTGTGGATCCTAAAAAGGGTCTTTTTTTATTTTTAAATTTTTTTTTTTAACTGCTCAGCTTTAAAATACAAGTTAAGATTTTCAATTTAAGATTTTGCATACATTTACGCAAAAGGTTTTCAAAGTAGCCCTGTGATAGACTGGTGACTTGTCCAGGGTGTCCCCTGCCTTCACCCTGAGTCAGCTGGGAGGCTCCAGCCCCTCCGTGACCTTAAAGAGGATTAAGCGGTGTATAGATAATGGAGATAATGGATGGTTTTTAAAGTCAAATACTGGCTACATTTCATGATGAAGTAAACTTAAATAATTCTTGCTTTCTTCCATAACCCGTGCACTGACCTCATGGAGAAAGAAAGTTAAAAGATTATTTAGAAACATTGCTTTTTTTCAGTAAATAGGTAAATGTAATGTGCTCTGATTATCCGTGTTTTCAGTCCCGGCAGACCCCAGAGGGAGAGTTCCTGCCCCTGGACCAGTGTGAGCTGGACGTAGGTTTTGGGACGGGGGCGGACCAGCTCTTCTTGGTGTCGCCTCTAACCATCTGCCACGAGATCAACACCAACAGCCCGTTCTTCGATCTGTCGCAGCGCTCGCTCATGAACGAGCAGTTTGAGATTGTTGTTATTCTGGAGGGCATCGTAGAGACCACAGGTTGGAGCAAATTCTTATATCTGAATGTATTTATTTATTTTATAAATAACTTTGGATAAGGGTTCTTGTCCTAAATCATTTGTTTCATCATCGTACAGCCTGTGGCATACAGCCTTTCTCGGTAATATGAAATAAAATATTTAACAGAATGTTTAATTTCATGGTATTTAATTATTCAACAGCGTACGGCTGTATCCATCGCTGTTGTATTTTTTCATGTCTCTGTCTCTCTTTTCCCTGAAGCACTTTTTATTTCTGCCTCCTGACTGGCTCTACGTCCATCTTTAATTAATAGTCCACTTTCTACAATTTTCTTAGTAACCTTACAGTGATTTTAGTCATTTCCTTTTTTTTAAAAAAAAAATCTTTATCTTGTCTGCATGGGAAATGTTCCTCTACTTTCTTTCTTCTTTCCATCATAGGTATGACATGCCAGGCCAGGACATCTTACACCGAGGATGAAGTCTTGTGGGGCCATCGTTTCCTGCCTGTCATGTCGCTGGAGGAGGGCTTTTTCAGAGTCGACTACTCCCAGTTCCACAACACCTTCGAGGTCCCTACGCCTCCGTACAGTGTCAAAGAGCAAGAGGAGAAGTCCTCACTGACATCGCCCAACCCGCTACCTGTTGCACCCACTCCTTCCTCCCCTCTGCTGGGCAACGGTGGTCGAGGAGGCCGCAGGGAAAGACTCCTGTCAGCCGACTATGCAGACCATGTGGAGGACCAAGCCTCCAGGCTGCCCAGCAAACTCCAGCGCATGAGCTCCACCAAGGAGGAGCACCTCTGGAAGGGGCTGAAGACCGGGCCAGCGTTGCCTGGAGGGAAAGCCTCCAGCACGGGGGACCTGCCACTTAGTATTCAGAGGCTGAGGTCCAGCTCCATCCCAGCTGTGAGGCATGGACAGCCGGAGGAGCAGGTCCAGCTGTTGTCCCTGGATGGAGAAGCAGAGGAGAGCGAGCTGGAAAAACATAGACAGCCAGCAGCCATAAGCACCATGGCTGCTCCAGCTCCAACAGTGCAGATCCCGTTGGTCGGGAGTCGGCCGGAGGACAACCTGCCGCCCAAGCTGCGCAGAATGAATGCTGACCGCTGAATTCTGCAGTCGAAGCCACCTTTAAGACTAAAAACACTTTGAAAACTCAATCAGGCTTGATGGGCATTGCATATAAATAAAGACAACTGTGATATAAGTTTTATTTTTTTTCTGCAGGTTTTGTCCAGTATTTTACTTTTACTTATGGGCTCTCTACTATGTTGTCCATTGCCACAAATAGAAGGACAACACCAATAAGCCATCCATCCGCTCATACTGTGAGTCAGTTTTGATAGATCACCATCTGTGCCCCCCCACTGACTTCGAACACTTCTGTCCTTGTGCTTGTTTCTTTCATTTCTGTTCAGAGTCACATCAAAGACTTTCTAATTGTCTCCAACTACTGTACAAGTTTCTCAGTTGAACAAGCACCAAAGTGGCAGTTATAAATAAGACTGACCTGCGTTGACCGTCTGCTAAACTGCCCCCCTCCCGCCCCCGCCCAAGAACAGTGAGTGTCCAGTCAGCGCTTTAGCAAAGATAACCATGCATGGCAAGCCTGTCTAGCTTTGGACTTGTCCACATGCTGAAGTGCAGCAAAGAGTGTGCAAGGTGGTGACTTTCTTTAGCCATTTCAAAATGAAAAACAGGATCAAAAGTGTAAGAAAATGATGGAGAAGTTTGTGTATATGTAAGTCACAATCAGTAGCAGGTGCAGCTAACTAACTACCTACAGCAAGAGCCCAACATTACTTCGGCCAATGCAAAGGAGAACATCACAAACTAGTTTTACAGCCCCGTCCGTCCCCGTCTATCTATCTATCTATCTATCTATCTATCTATCTATCTATCTATCTATCTATCTATCTATCTATCTATCTATCTATCTATCTATCTATCTATCTAATGTTAGCATCTCTATCTGGCTCGTTGTTTGTTTTGGCTTCAGCCCAAGCCACCTGAGACAGTGTTAGATTTGGCAGTAAAATGGCTCGACCACATCCTGCAAGTAAATTTTCTTATAATGGCAAAGGTGGAGAATGAGATTCTAATACAGTATAGTTTTGGTCAAATTCAGCAAATAATTCTTCATGATCTGACACCTTTTCGCTCGTGTTCGTTCAAAGCACTGGCTCAGTAAATGGAAAACAAATAAAGTGGCTCAGACCGATCAGTACATCACTACTGAGGCATTATATGCACGTTTAAGCTCTACATAAAATCTGACATGCGCTATAATTATCGACAATCTTTCCCCAGAATCGCTCACTTCACGTCACAAAAAATACTACACAATAAGCAGCCAGATGGGGAACAAAATAATATTCGCATTGAACATCTTTCTTTAGCACACTCACTAGCTCTGCTCTGCCACACAAAAACAAGAACCTGTTTATTTATTTCCATGTTTTCTACCTGCGTCATCATTTGTTGATGACTTTCTACATATAACGTATCAGCTTTAAGGCCAGTTCATGGTTACTGCATCCCTGTGGGCTGACCGATGCTGACGTTAAACACACACGTGGTACTATTCCTACAACGATGCTTGCATGTTGCGTTGATCCTCATATCAAACAGAAGAACACACATGGCTCCTGTGTGTGTTTCAGAAGGCGTCATAAGCAAAAGCGTAAGTCAAAAAAGTGTAAAAAAAAAAAACAACAACAAAAAACAAACAATAAATGTGGTTTTAGTTGAGGAAGAACAAGAAAACAATACTTGAAAAAACAAAATTACCATGTGCTAGAAAAGAGAAGAAAATTATAAGTAACTGAATTACTTACAAAGAAAAATGTATATATTGGAATGAAAAGAAATGACTGGAAGCAATATGGTTATGGTGCACTGGATACCAACGCAATATGATAAAACCAATTACTTCACACTTTCTACAGGGTACAGCAGCTACTTACAGATTGAGCTGTAGCACTGTATCAGTGATTATTCCTGAAGTGTGCCAAGCCCAGTGGGCGGACATAGCACTGGATTTATGGACAATCTGGAACGTCCCACTGTGTTTGGGCACTGTCAATGGAAAGCATGTTGCTACAACTCAAAGCACATCCAAATTCCAGCAGTGACTGCTTCAATTACAACTCTTTTAATGATGAAATATAAAGGTGTGGATGACAGAGAATCTCCTACAGGCATTTGTTCTGAGCACCATTCGTTTTCCTGGCACATGCGTTAGCCATGTGTGCAGTCTTGGGGACACTCAGGCATGAAAAGCATGAACTACTTCATCCTTTCATCCTTTTTAGCCTCAGCTTTTTACCACAGTATCTTTTATGTGGCCACCGTGTGCAAACTTAGACCCTTTTTTAAAGATCATTAGAAAAAGCTGGAAATATGCCAAATCAACCACAGATTGAGTTTTCAGGAAACTCACTAACATTAGCTTAATTAGCTGGCTAAAGTACAATGAAGAAAATCAGCTAGAAATGAGAAACCCGCTTTTGTCTACCTCTGACTGTGAAATCAAGGACATGTTAGTCTGAAAATTATCAAGAATTTTGGGTTGTAAATGTGCCACCACTGTCTATAGGAACTGCATATATAACGTAGGACAATGGAAGCTTGGCAGGCAGTAACTAAGGAGGGCGGGGTTTAGTGCATGGTCAATCAACCTGAATTGTTAAAAAAAAAAACAACAACAACAAAAGAAACACAAAAAAATGTTAAAAAAAAAAAAAAAAAAATTATAAAATCTCCAAAACACTATTCAGGTTGATATTCTATATTTATTTATCACTTGTACTGAATATTTGTTTCTTTGAATGCTCATCTGAGTTGTATGTTTACTACTGTCGGATTTTAACTCTTTTTACCTCTTGGTGCAGTGTTTGCATCGGCCCGTCGCGCATGGGACACCACATGCAATCACAGGTCAATTTTGGACTACGGACTGTGTTTCATCACGAACTGATTTACTAAAATGTAAAACAAATAACTGGGAATGCAGGGATGCTGACATCAGGGGATATGTGTATTATTGCCAATATAAAGGTAAGATTAAACTTCATATTGCAACTGCTAAACAATAAATTCTTTGAAAACACAATAGTTTCTGCGAGCACTGATGGGGTTTCTTTGTTTCCTTGTAGAAAATGCTGCATCGTATTTTCTGTGTATTTGCTGACTGCGTTCAACATCCACAGCTATTCCAGCCTGCAGAGAGCACCAGTAGCTCATGTGTCACCTGCTGCGATGGTTGAACCAACATTCATCAAATATTAAAGGCTAAAGTGTGAGTGTGAATCTGTTTTGGAACAAATTTTGGAAGGGCAGGAGTTCAGGGTAAACTCCAGCAGCAACTAACCCCTGGCTGGAAGGGTAACTGACTTTACTCCGTCCTCTGTTTACTTGAAATCAAAGCTCTTAACCTTTTCGTCTGGCTGCAGCTTCAGCAAATCATGTCAGTTGTCTTCAGGCTGACACAAGTCACAGTGTTTACCAGCTCTGTTCAGCGGCTCACTGCTGTAATCGAGGCCATCGAGACCAAAGTACTGCGGAGGAAGACGATTTTCCAGACATTACATATACGAGGACGTCCTCAGCTAATTAGTCATACTGCAAAGAACAGCAGAAAAATTTAATTTGATTATATAACTCGTTGACGGTACCAAATGACCTCCGTCCAGCTTAAGATAAAATTAACTCAGATAAACGATGGAGGGGGGGGGGGATAAATCACAAACCATTCCTCATGCAGATGCAATGTTGTATAATGATGAATTCAACTGTAAAGGAGACTTGCTTTGCTCGTTCCTCTATCATTAAATTGTTCTTGCTAAATGGATTAGTCTAATTTACATTCAATGGCACTTCCTTGGTGAAGTGAAGGTCGCTACATCTATAAAAACTGCATACAGCATTTGTAAGCATGGACTCATTTCACGTCGGAATTTTTGCTATAATAGATGAATTACATTCAATCAGTGCAGAAAGTCCTTGGAAGTAATTGAAATGTAAATATGTATGCTATGTTACAGACTGAAGACGAGCTCAACGTCCTTGAACGTCGTACGAAGCTGCATTCAACATCTGAGTGGAAGGTCGAGACAACATAAAAATAACTGTGATGAATCTACCTGACAAACACCCCGACACAAACTGACCTGGAAGTTCTAAATGAACTTTATGCTTGTAAATTTCTTACGCAACCACAAGAACTGAGACTCTACAATTCTAGCAGTGACAAGTCCACTTACTAAAGCACTGTGAGGAACTTGCTTGAGTACTTCCTCTTTATGCTACTTCAAACATCCACAGCTCTCCGTTTTCACACCACTACAGAGCTTTTAGTGTCCCCCGTTTATTTCACTGCCACGGCTTACTTTTCAGATCGTACAAATGGTAATTCAACCACACCATCAAATGAGATGCAAATGATTTGTTTATTGAAAACGAAACGTTTGAGGAGCATCTGGCAGATGAGGATGGTGGTGGCGACGGCTTTTATAAACATATGACGGGTGGAGAAACATTTAGGGAGTGTTTTTTTAATGCTTTTTTTTTTTTTTAAATCTCCAATGTACGAAACATGATGGCTTATTGTAAATTGAACTACCCAAAAGTACTGAGTTTAAAAAAAAGCTCACGTAAATAAAGTAGTTTGCTTAAATTGTATAAACGCCTGTAAATTTGCTGACATTATCTATGAATTAACAACCCAACACAATGCCAATAATGTCATATTTATTTCATTTCTTTGTTTTACAAAAATGTTACAATGTATTCAGCATTTTTTCTGCCTTCTTAATGATAATTAAAGACAAATGTATGAAAAATGACAATAACTATCTATAATTGAAAAACTCTTTATATAAAAGTTTATTGCCATATTCCTAAGTTAATGACTTTCCTTGTACATTTAAGGTAAATCTTCCTAGTTTTATATTTGTGCCTACTTTCACATTTAAACTGTGTGGATTTTTTTTTTTTTTTTTTTTTTTTAAACATTACTTTTTTTGAGACTACAAAGATCTTGAGGTTGAATTTTTCAGCCATGTTGCCCGTCTGAACTCCGCTGGCCCTGCAGTGGCAGTGGAAGAGTT